GGGCAACGGAACCTGGGGGAGAAAAAGGAGAAACACTACATTTAGAAAACGCTATCTCTCAGTCTGGCTTAATGCTTCATTCAATTGTATTCAATGCAGAGAGTGTACTGAGTCCCGTCCCACGCTGGGCACTGGGGATAGAAAGGGAGTTCCTGCCACCAGCTCTGCAGTGACAGGGTTCCTGCTCCACAGTCCCGTGGAACTGGCAGAGCACATAACTCAGCAGACATTCCACAAATAGCCTCAGGTTTGGAGCTCTTATTTCTATGGAATAGATCAAGAGACGGGAGCCTGGAACTCTTCCTTCAATGAAATAACTACATCAGGAGAGGTAAAAAAAAAAAAGCTCAAGAGCCGCAGCAAGGCTGGGTTTTGGAGAAGAGACAAAAGACATACACTGGGAAGGGGTTGGAAGATCACTGAAGCCTCAGAGGGAGGATTCCGAGGCCAAGAAGTCTGCCCTGAAGGACAAACGGGGTCCCGCGAAGGGCAGGACTGGGGCTCACCTTCTGATGCGGGGGAAGGCTATACCAGCGGCGGCTGGACAATCCCAAAAGCTGCAGCAGGAGGCGATTGCTCTGTGTGTCCCTCGAGCTGGGGCTCCAGCCGCAGAGTGCCCGGACCCTGCCATACCCCATGGTCCCACTACTGCAACAAGCCGGACCCGCACCAGCCCGCGGAGCCAAGCATGGAGCTCCCGGGTCCTCCCGCAAGGCCGCCCACCGAACCCCGAACCCCGCCCTTGGGGCCGCATTCTGGGCCCGTCGAACACAGACGCGCCACATAATGCCAGCAATCCCCACACCCCAAAATCAACGCCGTCTCCGGAGTGACCTCTCCAAGAACAGTGTGGCGTTGCCGTCAGCCGCGCCGCACGGCCGCACATTGTCGTAAAATAGGCTCCGAGGATTCACCGCACCCCTCCCCAGCCCAGAAATGGGTGGAACGTCCGCTCTTCCTCCAGGGAGTAGGGGAAAGGGTGGCCGGCAGCGAGTGGGGTAGACTGTTTTCCAGCCACAGGGGCAGGGGCGTTCCAGCGGAGCCAATGCAGGCGCAAGTTTGGGAAAAATAAGACGCGGAGAGGATTTAAGGTAGAGGGGTCCTAGGAGAGGCATCTTGGGGGTCCCACAGGGCCTAAGCGATGGGAAGGGCACAGCCGGCAGGGCGGGGCTTAAAGAGGCTGCGAAAGCCGGGCTGATGGAGGCGGAATGGCCAAGTTTTGAGAAAAGCCGGGAAGGGAGCCGGAGGCCAAGGGCAGGGTCACGGAGCGCTCGGAAGACTGGCCCGCGGAGCTGTCGGACGGGATCTGGGCGTTCTGGTGATGTGCAGACCGCCTCTGCCGACCCAGCCGTGGCCAGGTTTGGGGCCTCGCTCCGCGTAGCCCGCATTAAGTTACAAAGGCTTAATTTCGGGTTTGTAGCATAACCGGAAATCAGAGTGAACAGGTTTTCCAGCCAAATGGTGTGAGGGGCAGCCAAGCCGAAGATTCATTCCTCCATTAAGGTGTGCTGTAGCAGGACTAAGCATTTATGCTGTGTATGAAGATACAAGTTTTCAAAACAGATTTACGTTTCTGACTTACTATAGAATGCCCTTAAATCGCAAAAAGCTTTATTATGCTTGAAATACTTCGTACAAAATAGAGTTTGGTATACCGTCCGGTAAATACTGGAAGTTGAAGCATGTCATTTGAATTAATAAAAGAGAAGTTATCTACATTTGTTAGGTATACTTCTATTGTAGGGTTATCAGCTACAAGCGAAAAATACCTCATTTCTGGGCCGAGGGTGGCATTAGATTAGGAAGAAGCACGTGCTGTATTTATATCTCTAAGTCCCCATTGTACAGATGGTCAAAACACGAAGAACACAAGAAATAGGAAAAACCAACATGTGAAAATATGTTCAACCTTGCTAGTAATTAAACATTTGGAAAACTGAAACAGCCAGGAGGCACTATTTCATACCTACTAAAGTAGTAAGCTTTTTTTAAAAGGCAAAAATACCCAGTATTGAGATTGCAGTGCAGTAATAAATTATGAAAATGTTTTGGTGATTTTGAATTGACCAGGATATCTTACTACTTCCACTGTACTGGAATTTAATAACTGGATCTAAGTCAGCCTTTGTATGATACTGTCTTCAGTTTGCTGATCACTTCCGTAGGTAGGATTGCTTAAACCTGGGTTTGTTATTTTTCAGTGCATAGCTGGTTTTTATTTGAATATACTTTTGACAGGTGTAGTTAAATCACAGGAGGACACAGGTCAAACAGTCCAGGGTGTAAGTTTACCCCAGAGGTGTGGTAGGAATTCTTAGGTTTTCAGGCCTGAGAGAATAGGTCTGAACTCCCCTGAACAGATTGGATAACAGAAGTCAAGGAAAAGGAAGGCTCAAGACTCTAGGGTTTGAAGTAGAGAAACGTGTAGAATGGTGACAACCAATAGGAAGTGGGTAGATGGAAAGAGGAATTACTGGGTATGAAAGTTCTTTACATGCTTAATTTTAACATAATGACCTAATTAAAATGGCTTGTAATTAATAGTTGAAAATATGTAATTCCAAGTCAAGTAAAAGCTCAGGACTAAAAACATATAAAACGTTTAAATTGAAGTGATACATGAAGCTGACCTAAGTTTTAGGAAGGCAGCTTTCAAATTAATTTGGAAATTCTGGTTCTGAGTACAGCTTGTACTCAGGTTTTTATTTGTTTGCACATTTATATATAATTTCAAAAGAAGTGCTAAATCAGTGAATTTTCTTTGACAATAACAATGTGTTTTGTGCTTACATTTGAAATGCCAATGGTAAAATATCTGTAGTCATAAAGTAATCCTTATCTCTGCTCCCCAGGTAATGAGTAAATACGCTACCAGGGAGATCACTTGAGGAAATTGACTTGCACTAAATGTAAATGGCTTTGCTGATTAATTTCAGTCGATAAACACAAGTGAAAATGATTAACAGTATTTAGTTTGCAAACTCCATTTTATTCATGGTTTGTTTCTGCTTTTTTTTAAATTAGTTCACAAATCTGGTACATACAGGCAGTTAAAACTGGTTATCACTTTGATAATCAGAAGCCTCTGGTATAACACAGTCTTCATGAAAACAAAACAGGGAGAATGCATAGTGGTAATCTCTATGAAAGCAATGGTTGCAAACATCCATGTTTCTAAGAAAATATAACTTTACATATATATTTTAAGCAAGCTATACCTCTTACATAAATTCAGACAACAGGAGTGTGCAATCATAATGCTTATTTTATGGAAAAAATGAAAATTATTATAATTATGACATAAATGCTCTTAAGTAATTAGAGTCCTCTTGGATTGGATGTAAACATAAAGATATTTTCCCTAATTTACAGCCATCCTGGTCAAAAAGAGCTGAAATGTTAATCAGTAAGTAGGAAAGCCATTAACTAAGTTTAATCCAAATTCTTTAGGTACAAATTGTAAAGTGTTCCAATTCCAGCTAATTTAGGGAACTGAGTGAGAATAGTCATCAGTTTTTAAATGACGACTTTTGAAGGAATTGAGCTTTTTCTAAGCTAGTTTTTGTGAGAGGATCATTTTTTTTTTTAATCTCATGGGTTTAGAGGTTATTTTATGAACTCTAAACATTCTAGTTCCTCAGTTTTTTCAAAGGAAGAGAATTTCAGTGTTTGGATGGACTATCCCACACAAATGTCACCTGGGTACAATCCTTGGAATAAGTCAAGAGGCTTCGAGGACAACCAAAGTGTAACAAACAGGAATCGATTTAAACCCGAAGGAATCAATGCACACACTTCTCGGACGGTTCCTGTCTTTAGAAACTGGAATGGGGAGTACCAACACATTCTACACAAAAATTACTGGAGTGACATCCTGTAATGGGGGTGTTTAGTTATTACCCGTGGCATATGAGATTAATGAGCTAAAGGGGATAAAACTATCTCATTTTCTCCCCTGAACTCAACTTCAGCTTTCTGTGGAGGCACTGAGGCCATGCAGCTCCTCTTCCAAAGGACAGAGATATAAAAGCCAAATAAGGTAGAGGACTTTGAAATTTTTCTCTCATTTAATTTTCTCTGAAAAGCTAAATTCTACATAATGGTGAGAATGTTTGCTCAAAGAAAACTGACAAGTAAAAACTAACTTAAGAGACAGATACTTAAGATAAATTGTACTGGAAATACAGTAACGAATTTTGGCCTAATAACCCTCATGCTGTCTAGCATGTCTAGCAAAACACTAAAATTCATGCAACAGAGAAATTGGTGACATGAGGACCTTTCCTCCAGACTTCCGGGGTGGGGGGGGTGAAGGTTCAGAATATCCTGTTTTCTTCTGTTTGCTTTCGTAATGAATTATTCTTGCTTTTGACTGACTTTCCCAGTCACTTCCAATGAGAAATTCTTCAGTAGGAGATCAAGTAAACTTACTGAAAGATATCAGATATCTTTTGAGCTCCTTCTGTATGCTAGAGGAGCAATCAAAGAGATTACATAAAACTACCTCCACTACCAAAATGGCAGGTAGAATTAGAACCAGGAATCAGTTGTCATTAATATACTTGTAATAAAATAAAGCTTGTTCTGAAACCACAAGGGTAAGAAGAGAAGAGCCTTATAAAAGCTACTGGGTTCTCTAGAAAATGGATACAGTATATAGAATGTGAGAACATATAGAACTCACACTCGAGTTATAAAAATAGACATGGTTCTCAGACAAAAACAAATGAGTACAAAAGAATTCTCCAAACATGATCTATTTTAAAAGACACATTTATATAAAACAACAAAATGTCATTTCAGAGCTCCAATGAGTAGTCTGTTGAAACAGCTGGAAAACGGAGATGAACTAGAGACAGACAGGTCAAGAACCCAGAACTGACTTGTCTGACTCTCCTGGTTGGCAGTGTACATTGGTCACAGGCCGACTGCTTTTGGGAATGAGTATTTGTGTGTGTGTGTGTGTGTGTGTGCATATATATGTGTGTGTATATATATATATATATATATATATATATATGGCTGATTAGTTGATGGTGCTTGGTAAATGACTGAGAAAACCCAAGTTATTAAGTCATCTCTGGAAGTTTAACTCTTTTCTCTTAGCTTCTACACTTGACAGTGTTGCACATGAGAAAAGATTCTAGGGTTTTTTTTAACCCAGAATCAGCCCTGCCATTCACAACTCATGCTCCATGCCCCATGGTTCCTATTGTGCCCTAAAGGATCAACCTAGACTAAATACATAATCGAAAATAACTTGAAATGAAGAGGGGCAGACCAGTAACTCATGCTCAGTACTCATAAATTACAAACACTGAAATGAACGGTCTGTCTCCTTTTGACTGCAACAGAGACACCATGAGTTAAAGGAAGTCATGAGAGAAAGAAAGTCAAGGAAATATGGGTAGCAGCACCTTTCCATACCTGCCTAGGTTTTTAAGGAGACTTTAACTCCTTATTCCTTTCAAACACAAAGTTCGTCAGTTGGAAGGGGGAAAAAATGGCTCTACGGTGCAAGAGTCCCCAGAGAAAACTAGCAGTACATGAAATGTGCCCTCTGTGGGCTAAAGGACAAGTTGCAGAACCAGTTAAGACACAAGAGGCAACCCAAGGTCTTACTTCATCATGGTTTTAGCGAAGTATAGCACAACATGGGCAGCCCTTTTTCCATCCAATCAACAATTCAGCATCATCCATGCCCGGTCCAAAAACTTCCTGAAGAGTGGGCTTTCATCTTTGGTACCATCTCAGGAGTTCCTCTTGGTTTGCAATAGCTGCAAAGAAGCAAAAAAGCTGGTACCTTTGCCTTGTCTGTGAGCACAAATGCTGGGACTCTGATTGCCGCAACCATTGAGGCCAATTAAAGTAATACTGTAACACACAGGAGTGATGCATCCAGTTCCCAGTTTCCAGATAATAGCAGCCATGCCCCGACAGGAGCGGGATCGTCCATTCCCACTGGTTAAGGCCTTCGGTTTGTTGTCCTCAGAGTAGAATAAAACACTGTGTTCCCACGGACAAGGAACTCCAGATGAACCCATGGTCTACAGGTGGACAGGGATTTTAAGTACCACATAAGCCAGGCACAGAAACAGTACTGGCCTGGGGCTGTCACACTTGGAGAAGCTTCTTTTTTGGCAGCACAAACTAGAAACTTCTTTGTGTATTCTGGTTTTAGTCCTCTTTCCTGAGTGAAACAGCCAGGGGGTGCCAAGTTCCATGAGCCCCCAATCCAATACTCAGCATTAATTCTCTCCATGGTCTTCTTCCACCCAGGCGACAATTTTCCCTTCCCACCCAGGGATGGCATCATCATCGTGAAAAACCTAGAGGAAGAAAAAAAAAGCCACAGTGAAAAAATAAGTAAGACAGGGAATCTGTCTAGATGGCTGCTGCTGATAAAACTAAGACCTCAGCACAGAGGATAAAGAACATACAGAGGAAAGCCTTAAGTTAGAGTCTACGTCCCTTTTGTTTCGTCCCTAAAGTTATACCTAAACTTAAAAATGTATACAAATGCATACATATATATATATATACATATATATATATTTTTAACATATATTATTATATTTTGTATAATAGATTATGTGCATTATATATAATACAACATATACTATATCCTATTATTATATATTATTAAAATCACATAACATATTCTTATATGATACATATATAGTTTTTTTAATCTATGAAATGGTAAAAGCATCTCTAACCTTGCTTTGCTTATAGAGTTTGATTAGGATTAATAAATTACTAACCATACAGCACTTTAGGGTGCTTAGGAGAAAGCAGTAGCATATGTATTACAAAAATGAGAAAGGGTAAAATTTTGGTCCCAGGTATCGTAAAGAAAGGGTTAGAAAGAAGACCAAAAGAACAGGCAGTTCTTTTTATTCATTCATTCAATTTTCTAAGCCACTAATAGAACAGGGCTATTAAAGCATTTCAGTGTGGGGGCGCCTGGGTGGCTCAGTGGGTTAAAGCCTTTGCCTTCGGCTCAGGTCATGATCCCAGGGTGCTGGGATCGAGCCCCACATCGGGCTCTCTGCTCAGCAGGGAGCCTGCTTCCTCCGCTTGTTCTCTCTGCCTACCTCTCTGCCTACTTGTGATCTCTATCTATCAAATAAATAAGTAAAATCTTAAAATAAAAAAAGCATTTCAGTGTGGAAATATTTATGAAATAAAACACTGGCTTTAATCACAATGTGATTATGTAAGAACCCAGAACTCTCCTCCCTATATTTGGCAGATGGATTATAAAGAGAAGCGTAGGCTAAGAAAACAGTCAAGGAGTTGAGAATAAGCAGACATGACTTTCCAGAAGTTCCTCATTTTAATTATCTGAGAAACTGCCATCCCGATATACAGTTCCACATATCCATGCCTGTTTGTTTATCTTGCTCAACACAGGAAGCAGAAAAATTTCTAAGATTTAGCTACAGATAGAGAAGGGACCCCCTCAAGCCAAGCTTCCATTCAAGCTTAGATCCTTTTATTTTCACTAACAAAACTTTCTCCTTTTTAAAATAAAGCATTCTGTCCCAGTTTGTCAAAGCCATTAAGTCCTTGAATTGAGGAAGCTGCCCGATTCTTGTGCATTCCCTGACCACGTCGGTCTAGAGTAATCAGATGGGCCTGAGGCTCTGGGAAACTCCTCTGACCTGGGGAGGGAACTCGGGTACTGGTCGCAGAGGAGGCGGCTCTGGGGTTCAGGAACCAGCAGTAATACCGCCCAGGCTCCCCAGGGATTCTGTACCTCCTCTTTGACAGTGCCAAACTCAGGATCCAGCGCTTTGAAGTGGTACCGGTGATTTCCCTCCCGGTCAATAGCTGCTTTAAAATCCTTTAGTGTCACCTCCCCCAACCTGCAACAAAAGGCGAGAGGACTGACGTAGACTGCTTCTCATGAGGCTGGGAAGATGAGAGGTTACCTTTAAAGCCAGGCCCCTGCCAAAGATTCTCCAGGCAGAAATGACATGGCCTTGTTAGGTCCCCGCCCCTGGGAACCCAGACAATTCTACAGCAGAGGTTAGGGAGCCACCAAGAAGGAAGAAGAATAGCATTACGGACGGGGTGCTCTGAGAATTTAAAACAGATGTTTGTGTTCCAGCAGCAGCCAGATCGCTTTTGTCTGTTTTACTCTGGAAATCAGACACCATAAGATCTCTGAAATCTAATTGGCTGAACTATCAATACGTCTAAGTTCTCTTGATTTCCTTCTTTGCAACAATATTCCACCTCTCTAGGCTGGTAGAGTTAAGTCAGACATCACCATCTTCATCTTTCTAGCTTCAGAAAGCTCCCTGTTAGCCCAGACCAACTAAGCAAACTCTCCAGGAGAGGGACAACCTATTACCTCTCTCAGCTGTTGGTTCCAGAGCTTAAAAAGTCTTCCTTTCAAAGCCATTTATTTACCTTACAAGGGAGTATAAAGGTATGTTTGAAGGTTTTTAACATGAATTCTCAATTGCTTAGATGCAATCATCAAACAGGACCGAGATCGATGAGTAACAGCCCTGGAGGGCCAGGCTGCAACCCACGGCTACCAACGGGAGCTGTTTTGAACCCTTACAAAATGATTTTTCCTAACTCGGAACATAATTGTGCATCAGGATTGGAAGCACTATTACTGCGTCTGTACTTTGCAGCAGATCATGACTTGTCCCTTACAACGCCACTGGTTAGCGGTGACACTGCAACTAGGATCCCAATCTGTATTCTTCCTACACCATACTGTTCCTCAAACACCTCTCAGCTCGTTCAGTGGGAGGTAACCCCTGAGTCCGCCTCCTGTCACTACTTTGTCCTTTCAAAAAGTGAAAGAGAAACCGCGATCCTGGAATCTCACCTCTTTGGTATGTTGACCATGAAGGGTGTGAGTGACCGGTCAGTGAAATAGAGCACTTTCGTGCAGGTGCTGCTGACAGCCGGGGAGCTCTGTGAGTGAGGCAACCCTGCAGTTGGAGAGAGATGCTGAGGTCAGAGCTTGCTCCCAACCCCGCCTCATTCCCAGTCATTCGAAGTGTCCCAGGAGCACGAAGCTGCCAGGGGTCACAGCGCAGCCTCCACACCATTGCAAAACACCAGCCACGTCCGTGGGGTGTGATCCACGGGAAGTCACCCCTAGGGCCACGAAGCCAGGAGGAGGTGCTTTGGGCACGGACACTATCATGAGGCCGCCACTTCTCACCCATTCCAGGTACTTCTCCCAGGGAACAACGAGGGTCCCGACAGGCAGTGTTGCTCAGAGTCAAAAGAGGTCAAAGAAGCCAGGCAAGATCTCAACTAAGGGAGAAGGGACACAGAGCAGGAGGCGCAGACATTGCCAACTTGTAGACGGTGTAGAGAACGCCCAAGCAATTCATGGAGAGACGTGAGCAGGAGCAAGAACCACAGAGCAAAGTGACCTTAGAAACTCGGATCCCAAGGGACTTCATGCTTCATTGTGAAAGGTACAAAACCTATCTCATCCCTTAGCTACACAGGATCTGTATGTGTTGGTCCCATGGTTTGTTTGGTTTTTATTTTTTTAAGATTTTATTTATTCATTTGACAAAGAGAGAAAGAAAGCACACAAGCACAAGCAGAGGGAGAGGCAGGCAGAGGGAGAGGGAGAAGCAGGATTCCCACAGAGCAGGGAGCCCAATGCAGGGCTGGACCCGGGACCCTGGGATTGTAACCTGAGCCAAAATTAAGAGTCAGCCGCTTAACCGACTGAGCCACCCAGGCCAGGTGCCCCGGTCCCATGGTTTTTAACTCAAATTCCTTGGTCTGCATCTTCTCTATGCTTTATACAGGTACTTATTAAAAATTTTAATTAAGGAGTACTTATGATAATGCCTTTAATAGGAGAAAAGACTAATTAGAAATTTTTATCATAAGAACCAAGAAACAGGGGCGCCTGGGTGGCTCAGTGGGTTAGGGCCTCTGCCTTCAGCTCAGGTCATGATCCCAGAATCCCAGGATCGAGCCCCGCATCGGGCTCTCTACTCCGCGGAGGGCCTGCTTCCTCCTCTCTGTCTGCCTCCCTGCCTACTTGTGATCTCTCTCTCTGTCAAATGAATAAATAAAATCTTTAAAAAAGAAAAAAAAGAACCAAAAAACAGTAATTACTGTACCTTATAATCTGATTTGTTATATTAAAATCTCCATTGCCATCCTATCTCCGCATATTTTCTTAATTTATTCTAGGTATTTCAGCATCCTTGTCATACGAGTTTACTCTCAAGTAGATATTGATTGACTCGTAACAGTATTTTTCTTGCTTTGTGGATGTCTTCTAACTTCTTACTGAATATTAGACATCATGTATATGATGGTAGAGAGTGACTTACCAAATATGTATGTTTAGAAATAGGACCACTGCTCGTTCCGCCAGGCCACAGAACTAGGGACAGTTAATCTGGACTGCAATTGAGCTGGGATTGGGATTTTTGTTCAGGTTACCTTTGGGGCACCACCATCTTCAAATCCCTGTAGAGTTATGTTTAGGAGCTGGATTGCTGGAGGGTTTTTCTTCAATGTTCCTCCATCTTCAGCTTTAGACTTTCCTTGTGAGCCTGTGCCCGAGTCAATCTCTCTACACTTGTGCATTCCCACAGCAAGCTGGTGTTGCTTCTTACCCAGTGCTTGGACATCCAGCGGCTGGCAACGAGGGGAGCTTCTCTGTGGTCATGACCCAACCTCAGTCTTGAGGGTGGGGCATTAGCAATGGCCCTACTCTTCTTCCCCCAAGGGTAGGCAACCTCTAAGATATGAGCCCAAGACAGTGTCCTACCAGTCTCCCAGGCACAGACAGTTCTTTTTTCCTTTTTCCTTCCCTTGCCAAAATAGGTCTTCACCCTTGCCTGGGACAAGGAGGGAGGAGAAAACTGATTCGCTGCCCTTCCCTACTGGCTTAAAGCTTTTGTTCCTTAAAGAAGAATGCTTCACGCTTTTCCTTTCGTGGCAGCTGCTCGGGCCTCTACCACCAAGATAGGCTCTCCCTAGACTCTGTCCCCACAGCCAGTATTTTTCATAAGCACCCAATGGAGGTCCACAAAGAGCCTGCGAGTGGGTGCAAACTCCCCTTGCTTCTGTGGCCCCAAGGGTTCCTATCCTCTCTGCTTAGCCTTGAGCAATTACAATCCTAGCCGATTTCTTCCCTATTCGTATGGTGGCGCCATCTTCCTCCCGCAAGTACACCAGGGCTTGCATCCAGTCTCTCCTGGAGGCACGTCTTTGTCCTCAGGCTAGTTGGTTGCTCTATGATCTCATCTCTCATGGATTCAAGAAAGTGAAGTGATGATTTCTTTTAGATTACTCAACTTTGTCTTATTGTTAGGGAAGGAGCCTTCTATATCCTAGGCAGAGGTTAGAAATTATTTTTCTTAACTTACTTTTTAAATTTATTTTTATTTTTACTTATTTGGGGGGGCAAAAAGGTGATTTTTATTAAAACATGGGGAGCAGAAAGAGCTACCTAACTTACTTTTTAAAAATAGAGGTAAAATTCACATAACACGGGCGCCTGGGTGGCTCAGTGGGTTAAGCCGCTGCCTTCGGCTCGGGTCATGATCTCAGGGTCCTGGGATCGAGTCCCGCATCGGGCTCTCTGCTCAGCAGGGAGCCTGCTTCCCTCTCTCTCTCTCTCTCTGCCTGCCTCTCTGTCTACTTGTGATCTCTCTCTGTCAAATAAATAAATAAAATCTTTAAAAAAAAAATTCACATAACACAAAACTCACCATTTTAACCATTCAAAGTGTATAATTCGGCATTTAGTACATTGAGTGTTATGTCACTGTAACTACTATCTAGTTGTAGAACATCTTATTATCCCAAAAGGAAACTTCATACTCATTAAGCAGTCCCTCCTTCCTAATCTTGGCATCTGTCTGATGTACTCACTGGTTGTTTCTCTGGATCTGCCTATTCTGGGCATTTCATATAAAAGGATTCATGAATTTATACACTTTTGTGTCTGGCATCGTTCGCTTAGCGTTTTCAAGGTTCATCCACGTTGTAGCATGTATCAGTGCATTGTTTCTTTTTACGGCTGGATAATATTCCATTGTATGCACATGCCAGAATTTGTTTAAACATTCATTGGGTGATGGATTAACATTCGGGTTGTTTCCACCTTCTGGCTGAATAATGCTAGGTACATGTGTGTGCAAGTTTGTTGTTTTTTTTTAAATACCTGTTTTTAATTCTTTGACTATAGACCTAGGAATGGAATTACTGGATCATAGAGTAATTCTGTATTTAAGTTTCTGAGGAACCACTAAACTGTATTCCACAGCATGTGTACCATTTGACATCCCCACCAGCAATGTCTGGGACCTCCCCCTCAACAACATTTATTTTCCATTCCTTTAGAACTAGGGTATCTCACTGTGGTTTTGATGTGCGTTCCCTAATGACTCTTGGTTTTACACATCTTTTCATGTGCGGACTGGCTATTTGTTTATCTTTGGAGAAACGCTTATTCAAGCCCTTTGCCTGTTTATTCCTGGATTTCTTTGTCTTTTGTTGTCAGTCTGTAAGAGTTCTTTGTATATTCTCTATTTTACAGCCTTATCAGATATATGATTTTTCAAGTATTTTCTCCTATGGCCTTTGTCTTTTCACTTTCTTGATAGTGTCCTTTGATGCAAAATTTTTTAATTTTGATGAAATCCCAATTTCCCTATTTTTTCTTCTACTGCTCATGCTGTGCTTTGTTTTTTGTTGCTGACTGAGAATCCAAGGTCATGAATATTTTCCATGTCTTCTTCTAAGAATTTTACAGCCTTAGCTCTTACATTTACCTCAATGATCCATTTTTAATTTTTATACATGGTGTGAGGTAGGGGTCCATCTCTACGTTCTACATCTCTACATGTGGATATACTGTTGTCCAGCACCATTTGTTGAAGAGACTATCTGCTGGTCTAATGACCACAGATGTATAGGTTTTTTCTTAACTCTCAATTCTATTCCGCTAATCTACTGTATTACTTTATTTTTTTAAGATTTTATTTTTATTTATTTGAGAGAGACAGAGAGAGCACCAATGGGGTGGGGGACAGAGGGAGAGGGAAAAGCAGACTCTCCACTGAGCAGGGAGCCCAACACAGGGCTCCATCCCAGGACCCTGGGATAAGACCTGAGCCAGAGGGGCGCCTGGGTGGCTCAGTGGGTTAAGCCGCTGCCTTCGGCTCGGGTCATGATCTCAGGGTCCTGGGATCGAGCCCCGCATCGGGCTCTCTGCTCAGCAGGGAGCCTGCTTCCTCCTCTCTCTCTGCCTGCCTCTCTGCCTGCTTATGATCTCTCTGTCAAATAAATAAATAAAATCTGAAAGAAAAGAAAAAAAAAAAAAAAAAAAAAAAGACCTGAGCCAGAGGCAGACGCTTAACCAACTGAGCCACCCAGGGGCCACTCTACTGTATTACTTCTTAAGTCCAAAATAATTATTATTGCTTTCCCTTAAGAGTAAAAGGCAAGAAAAGAAGTGGATTCAGAGAAAAGATTACTCTTTCAGGAGATCTGGGTGTGATGAAATGGAGAAAGACAGGGCATAAGCGGGAGGGGAATAATTGGAAGGTATTTTGAGACTATAAACATTCGCCTTGCACCTCTCAACTGCCACACACTATGCCATGTTATTTGCACATAATATTTCACTTAATACTCATAATCCTTCAAAATTATCTCCATTTCATGAACAAGGAAAGTAAAATTCATATATATTAACTCCCTTGCCCATGATCACACACTCTACTGAGAGCCAAAACTACACCCCCAGATCTGTTTGATTCCATACTCTGTATTTTTCCCACTCTATTTTGTGTCCAGTTTTGGACAAAAGGTTTGAAGTGCCATTCTGCCTATAGGGAGATATCTAGTTGTCATTCAAAAATACAGCCCTGGGGCACCTGGATGGCTCAGTGGGTTAAAGCCTCCGCCTTCAGCTCAGATCATCATCCCAGGGTCCTGGGATTGAGCCCTGCATCTGGCTCCCTGCTCAGTGGGGAGCCTGCTTCCCCTCTCTCTCTCTGCCTGCCTCTCTGCCAACTTGTGATCTCTGTCAAATAAATAAATAAAATCTTTAAAAAAAAAAAAAAAAGAAGAACAGTCAGTGATTTTTAGAAGTCAATAGAAGACAAGGTTTGAAAAGTAACCACTTTGATTAAGGCCAAGAAGGTCAACAGTGATCCAACAAAAAGAACACTAAGTAAGTGGATTTGCTGAGTAAAAGCTGACTGGTGGCTTGAGTAGTAAATGGGAAGAAAGGAGGGAAAAAGATCCCATGTAGACTATTTTTTCAAGGTTTTATGTGGGGGAATAAGAAAAAAAGTCAGTAGGTAGGAGGCTAACGAGTTACACAAGCTTTTGTATTTTCAGGAGAGAGATCTTGTAACTGTGAATACATAAATTAGATTAACTCCCTACATATAAGCAGCTATGAATACTTGCAGTATTTAGGATAAGTACAGCAAATACATAAAAGGATTTTTCCAGGAAGGAAGGAATTTATTAGATTTTTAAAGAAGAATTTCCAAATATTTAGAATTATCTGCATTGGCAACTTATATTAACCTAAAAAAGTCCTGAAGGGGATGACAAAATAAAAAGCCTCTTAAGAAAATAGAAATGAGGGACATCTGGGTGGCTCAGTTGGTTGAACTGAGCCTTTGGCTCAGGTCATGATCCCAGGGTCCTGGGATCAAGTCTAGCATCGGGCTCCTTGCTCAGCAGGGAGCCTGCCTCTCCCTCTCCCTCCTCCGGCCGCTCCCCCTGCTTGAGCACACACACTCTTTCTCTCTCTCTCTGACAAATAAATAAATGAATAAATAAAATCTTAAAAAAAAAACAGAAATGAGGGGTGCCTGGGTGGCTCAGTGGGTTAAGCCTCTGCCTTCATCTCAGGTCATGATCTCAGGGTCCTGGGATCGAGCCCCGCATCGGGCTCTCTGCTCAGCAGGGAGCCTGCTTCCCTCTCTCTCTCTGCCTGCCTCTCTGTCTACTTGTGATCTCTGTCTGTCAAATAAATAAATAAAATCTTTAAAAAAAAAAAACAAACCAAAAACTGTATATGTAACAAACAGTTAGCTTTTTACTATTTGGTTTTTGTAGATTATTATGTACTTTTAGATTAGGCCTGGGTAAACCATAAAAGACAAAATGTAGATATTATTAAAGAAAAAGGTAACATACACGATAAAAGAGAAATTACCAGGCAGGGTAGGTTTCCAGCATGTTTGAAGGAACAGGGAAAGGAATGTAAGGAGAGGGCATAGAGCAGATTAAATTACTTCTTCAGCGTGGCCACTAGATGGCGCAAGTCTTTTGAAAGACCCAAGCCCCCAGTTTTAAGGAAAACCTCCAAAGAAATTAAATTTTTGCCTTCAGGAAGAACTGGAAATTTTCTGTACTATTTGGGACTGTAGGGTGGTTTGTGTATGTTTTTGTTGTTTTATATTCTGCCGTGTTTGGTGTAAATATTTTGATATTGTATATTTTCCAAAGATATTTTGGAAATATCTTTGGAATATCCTGAGTCAGGAGCATCCTGCACGTGCTAAACGTTACTTGGGGTAATGGTGCTGATGACGGCCGGTAAGTGTCTTCACATCCTAGAAGTAACTCGATTCAAGTATTCCTACAGAAATATGTAAGAGTGAAGTACCACAGGAAAAATTCTACTCTCAAAATGTCAGTAGCAAGAAAAGTACTAAATTTCTGATCTAATAAGCTAGGAGCCCTTATTGAGCAGTAATGAGTACTTACTTGAATTAGGGGGCCAGGACTCCCGGTATTCACTACCTGCTTGAGTTCTGGGTGACTTGCCCCGAACCTGAGGAGTCACACAAAAATACCAAAAGTTATCATCAGCAGGAGAATTTATCCAAGAAATTTAAATCATAAAAATGTACCTGAAATACATACTTTTCTACCCCATCTTTCGCACTATATAAAATTGGACAATATATTCTAATAAGAACGATGTACATTTATAAAAGGCTCTCTAGTCTCCAATGTAGTTTCCCATATATTTCCGCATCCAATGCCAACCTCATTCAGGGGAGAAGAAGGGCAAGAAGCAGTAGAGAGAGACTCCTGTGGGCTCAAGAACCACACTTCCTTAAACCCTTATGCAATTTCTAGGAGCAAGAGTTATCACGAACGCCTTTCCTGATGCAGAGTCGGCTCCACTTAGAGGAAAACCTTTGACATGTCTGTTGGCAAAGCTGTCAACTCAACTAAACTTGATAGAACGAAGTTCTTTGGTGCTGGCCCAAGAGAACCGGCCCAGAAAGAGGATTACCTTTCTGTCCGGCTTCTTCTGGGTCTCCATGGCGTGCAAGCGCTCCATCAGGCTGGAGAGGCCCTGCTCCAGGCTGTCAATGGTGTGATGCTGAGGGTCGTGGCCGCTGAAGCTGCCGCGCAGGCTGCGGAGCGCGTCGCGAACGAGCTGCAGGTCGCTGGTCTGGGGGCAGAAGGGAGGTGCCGCTGAGCTGGCGCGGCCGCAGGACTAACCACATCCCCATCGCTGAGCTCAACACCGTACAGCAGAGGCTCCCAGGCCGGATCTTTTGTTTTCGAGGGAGGAGGTATGAATGCTAAGAAATTTTCCTTCACAGAAGTGGACCTATTGTTTGTCCATTAATTATTCACGGCGGACAGCAAGAGTCTCGCATCCTCTGCGCTCATCAGATGCAGGAATTAGGGAACTGGGGTACAAAAGGCCCGGGGGTGCTGGCGATGGTTAGGCCACTGTTCCGGTTTTAGCTGGAAGTGGGGTCTGCATGCAAATCCCAAGAACCTACCCCTTTGTGAGTGATGGAAGCAGCTCCTTTTCCTGCCACTGGAAGGAGAAAACCATTGCTCTGAGAGTTGTGACTGTTGTAGCTGGTCACCTACAGCAGCAAGAAGTGACGCTTGTTGTAAGGGAGAATTCCAAACCGAGGTGTCCTCATCTTTCTTACTCACACTTACCACTTCCTGACACAGTATACCATTGTCTGTCTGTTCGTGTCGCTCTCAATTAGAATTTAACCCTCATGAGTGCAAAGACCTTTTTCTCCTTTCATTCCCTGCTGTAACCCCGGTACTTGATACCCGGTTGGCACTGCTGAATGAGGAATGAGCAAAACGGAAGCCTTGGCTGGGGAACCCCCCACCTTGCCCCAGCCTTCTCATAGGCAGGCCTGAGAAGGCTGCTTCAGCACCTCCTGACTTCACTTCAGTAAGTAAAAGAGTAAGAACAAAGACTAATATTTTGGAGCCTGACTTTGTGCCAAGTGGACTGTCTATTTTCCAGATGAGTCATTTCTTTTTTTTTTTTTCCGATGAGTCTTTCTTTTTTTTTTTTTTTCAATAGGTCTTATTTCTAAAGCTCAGAAGTGAAGCAACTTAAGGTCACACAATGGCAACAAGTATGAAAAGCTGGAATTTGAAACTAGATTTTCTTTGCCTGGAAGCTGCGTTCTTATTTTTAAATTTTTTAAGTTTTATTTATTTAAGTATTCTTGATACCCAATGTGGGGCTCGAACTCAAGACCCTAAGATCAAGATATATTGCCTGCATATTGCTGTGACTGAGCCAGCCAGAAGCCCCTGGACCCTGCACTCTAAACCCCCTCACCAAATAGCCTCTTTGACCCTACAGATGTGGGAGGGGGGCCCGAAGGGGCAGGTTACCTCATCTGCCTCTCTTTTCATACAGTGAGCCAAAAGGACGTCTTTCTGTTCCAGCTCCCGCTCTAGGTCCACCTGCAAGGAAGAGACGACATCAGAAAAAGCTGTCTTCAGGCTGGAGGGACAGGAAGTCAGTGGGGGCCTCTACTCCCACCTGCTGGTAACTGGCCTCAGAGAGCTTCCGGAGGGCTTCTTCCAGCTTGGCCTGGTGCTGCTGGAGGAGGCGCTCCTTCTGCCCCAGCTCCTTCTGCAACAGAGACAGAGCTTTCAGGTGGATGCAAAGCCAAGCGCGCTGAACAGCTTACCGCTGGCCAGGTCAGTTCCACCTGAGCAAAGGAGAGGCTCAAGGGGAAGAGTCCTTTCCTCAAGCCACATAGGAAGACATTCCATTCCATAGTGATCTGACACAGTACAGAGGGTTCTTGGAACAGTAAGGCGGAAGGGAACTAGCATTTGTGGGAGGACCGCCACATGGCACGCACGCAGGTTAGACATAAAGGTTGAGACGGAAGTTTGCAGACAACCAGCTCTGTACTCCTTCTCGTAGACATGCTATCTGTTCTTCAGGGTTACGGAATCAAAGGCACCCAGAAGATGTCCTTGCAGAAAGCAGCAATGAGAACAGAGTATTCAGAGCTCTTTGAACAACAGCAACAACAGACTATCCATAAAAGGTCAAATGGGAATCATTTCCAAACTGATACACATTCTTACTTTATACTCTCCCAAGAGCCTGTTCCGCTCCTCTAGCTTCCTCTGCAGGTCCACCTGCAAGAAGGAAAAGAAAGAATTAACCAGCGTCTGCCACGCCCGGTAGGAAGCCAACCACGCCTTAACCAGAGCTGATGCTGGCTGCGAGGGCACAGAGCACAGAGAGCACACGGCTATGGTGAAAACACACAGCTCCTCTCCTTTTCTTTAGTAAGATAATCAAATGGTAGCACCACGGTTTTGTCTCTGTCTCAGCGTGCTCAGAATTGAAGGGCTCGAGGCCAGGGAGGTGTGGGCTTTCAGCCGAGGGCAGAGATGACTCTAACAGGAAGTAAGACTAATTGCAGACACGGAGGACGGGCGTCTCAGAAATAAGCTAAGAGGTCAGGATGGCAGATCGAACAGGACTTCATGTATCCTATTTTGCTCCTGGGGCTCCGTGAGGTCAGAGTTCATTCATGCAGCTCACATTCTGGTTGTGCAGCTCATCTTTGTCCATATTCGCCCTCAGCAGTTCTTGTTTGAGCTGAAGAACAGAGGTGTCCTGTTGGGTCAACCTCTGCTGCAAGGCGTCCTGGGGAACAAGAGCTCACTCATTACTGTGGTCCCAATCAATCAATCAGCCAGTCATCACTTACTGCGTGTCCAGCATTAGTTTGGGCAAACTAGGAGATGGAAAGAATATGAGGTCTTGCTGTAAGGAGATGAGCAGGGATTCTTCTGTCCCTCTCCCGGATGCTAGCACCTAAAGAGAAGTCCGATCCACTGTCCTACCTAGCTGACTGAAACCCGCTTTCTCCTCCACCTATTACTCACCCCTACCCTCCACTGCCTTCCTGCCAGCATGATGCCAGAGAGAGAGTCGGTGGCCTTTGGGATCCAACAGACCAAGATTCAAATTACCAGTCTATTGCTTGCCTTCATGACGGCGACCATGGACAACGCTCTCTTTTTCCTCTCACCCTGGCTTTCTCATCTGTATCTAGGCTATATAAATACTGAGTCTAGATAAGCTCTTTTTCCTTCTCCTTCTCTGCCAAATCCCCATCTCCTAGAGGGCTGGGCCCTACTTCTGCCTGCCACCCCGGTCAGAGAGAATCCCTGGAATCCCTCTCAGCCTGCTCCCATTGCCTTCCAATGCCTAGTCTAGACCAGGACTGGGATTGTATTTCCATGCTCAGAACTCCTCTTGGACTTATGGTTTCTCTTCCCAGTATCCTATGATCTTACCAGCTTCAGGGTGCTGTCTCTCAGCTTAGACACTCTTGGTTCCTACCATGCCTAAGAACTGTGGGATGTACACACTTAAAAAGATCGGCTAGAACACACTTTTCCAACCATGGTGACCTCACATGGAACTCGGGACTGGAGCTGCACTGCAGTGTGTTTGCCTTGATTTTCCTCTCTTTACAGAATGCAAAGAAAAATGGGGTGGGCTCTGGAGAAGGTGAGGGTCCGTTCATAAGTATGCTGTCAGCCATGGCAGTACGCGCCAAAGGTTGTCCAAGATGCGCTTGGCATCAGCAGTTCAGAGAACATTTCCCAAAGTGTTAGTAAGTGTTGCATGGGAGAAAAGGCACTTCTGTGGTTAATAATTCCAAACTTTTTATGGCAGACTTTCTCAGGTCCTCTAGTATGGGACTCTTCCAGCCTACAGGGCCTTTCTCAAACTCATCTGAGCATGGAACGCTTTGTTTTCTGACATATCTCAAAGGATCAAGGCTATGAAATATACTCTGACTCTGACAAACGCTGAGGAGCTGTGCTCCAGTCTGCCCGTGAACAGGAGTGCAGGGAAGAGGGGAAGACAGCAGCTTAAGAACATCCTTTCACGTTTCTAGGTGTTTATGCAACAGATGCATTCCCACGGGGGAAAAGCAACATATATTCAAAACTGCTAGCTAGATCACTGTATTAGCAAAAGACTGGAGATAACCTAAAAGACCATCAACAGGAACTGATTACATGATCATATACATATATACTGGCATACTATGCAGCCATAAAAAGATCTAGGAAGGTTTTTATGTACTGAAATAGAATGATCTCTAAGATATGCTACTAAGTGAAAAAAGAGCAACATGTGAAGCTGTATGTATAATACACTATTATTGGGGGAAAAATCATATACACACATATTTATTGATAACTCTAAGTTACCGCCAGGAAAGAGAACTAAGTGACTGAGTGGGGGGAGGGGACAGGGCTGGAAGACAGACTTTTCAGGGATGATCTTTTCACACCATCTTCACTTCAAGCCATTAAATACTATTACCTACTCAAACACTAAGTAAATTACAATGTTTAAGAGGACATTCTTCTTTAGAACTGAAGAAAACTATAAAAACTGTGAGGGTGGCACAGAGGGAAGGGACAGCGTAACAAGTCGTAACCGTCAGAAATTAGCCTCAGCAAAACACTGGTGTTTTTCCCAACATGTCTCACTTCTCATCCACAAAGTGATACTTCCTAGTATCACTCCACCTGCCCAAGGCTCCTGCAAATGTGTACAAGACTCCAGACCCAATTATCCTCCTCCCACCCACGCTCTGTAGTAGACAGGTTTACCGGGTAGAATTTATTTAAAGGGTTAAATGTCTTCCTTTTTACCTTTATCCCCTGTAAGTTTCTGGCTTCTTGTTTACATTTCAGCAGCTCCTTCTGCAAACCAAATATAGTTAGATCAGATGGCGGCATCTGGGTTGCATCAGAAGCATTACCTCATTCTGTCAGTAGGAACACAAAACTCAGATAGCCATTCCATGAACAACTAACCCTCTCCTGAGGCAGAAAGCAGATCCGGTCCAGTAAACAGTAAAGGCGGCCTCACAGAGACAAGAACGAGACCCATCCCATCCTTCCCTGTGCTACCCAGGCCCAAATGCGGGTAGAGAAAAGCGTCTTGTCAAGAAAGATACCACATATTCCCACAGACTCTCATTCCTACAGTTAGCCCTCTTCACTAACAGGAAAACCTAATCATGATAATCTAGGTCTCCCTTACTGAAACACACAATCATATCTTCACGTGCCTATCCCCAGTGTCATGTGTTCCACAAAGGGATAGAGTCCTTCGGATTCTCCAAGTGGGCATTATTCTTTATAAACCAAACAAAGACACATTTAGCCCAATAATGAAATACTAATTATCCATCCCTTACAACAGATTAAAGACACGTATATAATTGTCACTAGGGAAGATTTTAGGAGAGGAACACCCATACTGAAGACCCTGCTCTCTTCTTTCCTATGGCATCACATTAAGAGTTTGGAATTAACATATCTAAAATAGGAAATTCCTAACATGGGCTCCACAGATGGACTCGAAAGTAATTCTATTAAAAATTCAAGTCAGTGAGTGCATGAGCACATACTCGTGCATATCCTGGAGAGTGCTAATGGCTTTAGTCATATAGCTATGACTCCAAAAAAGTTAAAACCCATTGAACTAGAAGCATTCTGGGAAGAAGTCTTTATAAAGGACCATACTAGACTATGATTAATACTACTGTATCATGTATTTGAAAGTTGATAAGATAATAAATGTTGAAAGTTCTCATTAAAAGAAAAAAATGTGTAACTCTGTGTGGTGGTGGATGTTAACTACATTTATAATGGTGATCATTTCATAATATATACACATATCAAATCAATGTTATACACCTGAAATTAATATAGTATAAATTATTTAAAAATTATCTTAAAAAGACCATACTGAGGGCACCTGGGTGGCTCGTCAGTTAAGCATCTGCCTTTGGCTCAGGTCATGATTTCAGGGTCCTGGGCTCCAGCCCCTAGTCAGGTTCTCTGCTCAGTAGAGAGTCTGCTTTTCGCTCTCCCTCTGACCCACTCCCCACCTCGTGCTCTCATTCACATTCCCTCTCTCTCAAGTAAATGAACTAAAAACTTAAAAAAAAAAAAAGAAAATGACCATATTGATATTAGACCCATTTTTAATTAAAAAAGAAAAATTATGAAACATTTAAAACACAAAGAGAGGTGGAACCAATGACATAGATACCTATTACCACCAAGACTCAAAAGACATTACGTTTTTGCCATATTCAGGACATGTCTCTCTCTTTCAATCAAAGATATAAAACAGACACAGCCAAGGTGCTAAGTCTGCATCCCGTCCCTCATACCCGTCACTGTTCTGACGCTGGTGTGTGATATTCCCATAATTTTTTTCAAAGGGAAAAAGGCACGTGTTCTGACATACCTTTAGGTCCTGATTCTCCTCCATACTCTGATCCAGACGACTCTGGATTATAATCTAAATATAAGGCACAAAGAAATGTCTATGCAGCTATGCCGTGAGATTCAGAGGTCATTCATTCAGCAAGTATTTACTGGGTACCTTTTCCAATGTTAGCCTCCTACCTGAATACAGAGAACAGGAAACAGCCCCTCCCCTTTGGGGGAAGCACAAGCGCGGGGAGGGGAAAGGAAAGGACTGTGGATGAAATTCAGACAAGTGCCTGTGTACTAGGTACAGGGGCTCAGAGGAAAAGCAAAGGGATGATAAAATGACTCTTGCCTTGGAGGTAAATTTTATTGTTGCTGTTTTATAGAAAATGAATTAGAGGAGGACAGGAGAGTAATCAGGAAAACCAGCTGGAAGGCTGCTAGCATACTGGATGGAGGACTGAATTAAGGTCGTGGTTTTGCGAAAGGAGAGAAGTGGATGAAAATAATTTAAAGGGGAATGGACAGAGCTGGGTGACCTACCGGACACAGAGGGAAGGGCCAGAGGGATGCAAGGATGATGTTCAGTTTTGGGTATCTGGTGGGGGTGGGTAGCAATCAGAAACAGAGTGCAAAGGGACAAGTAGTTTTGGTGGTGGAGAGAGAAAAGCCGTTTAATTTAGGACTCAAGGTAGTGAGATGCTTATGGGACCCGGAAGTGGAGATGATGGGCGGTGGTTACATGCCGCACATGCCAGTCTACAGCCCCGCAGGGAGAGCCGAGCTAGAAATCAGTATCTGAGAAACAGGGTGGGAAGTGCATGACGCCAGGGAGGCAGATAACACCGCCCAGGTGAACAGATCTGACAGCAGGGGCCCCCAGGGGAACTCTGAGGAGGTTCAAAGGGAACTTGAATGTGAGCTCTGTGAGGGTGGGGTCGTAGGTCTGCTTTGTCCTCACCATATCTCCAGTACCAGGAAGCTGTGCCAGGCATAGCTGGCGCTCAGTAAATTTGTTGATGAGGAGAGGGAGGGAGAATGGAAGAAATAGTCAAAAATACATGAGGAAAACAGGAGAGGTGGGGTCAGGGAAGAGAACATTTCAAGAAGGTGAGGACAACAGAGTCAAAAGCTAAAAGCAAATCAAACACATAAACCGGTTTATCTGGAGTCCAGTCACAGACAAGGAACTCACCAGTTGTTCCTCAGGATTGACTCCTGGTTCAAGGAGGGCCAGGGGCCTCTCCTGTTCATCTTCGGGTAAGGATCCATTGAGCAGTAAGGCCTGAAAAATCACAGAAACAGAAAGAAACCTGACTCCCATCAGATGATGGAGTCCAGAGTTGACCTTGCTAAGCTTATCCTAAACTGAAATCACAACTGAGCTTCCCGTGGAAATCTCCTTGGTAATTTTTGGTCCTTTGATACCTCCAATTTTTCATTTTGGGTCTCTCGGGAGTTCCTTTTATCGGGTCCACACTTAGGACCCTTTCATCTTCCGGGATGTGCCTGAATCCTTCACTCCAAGGCTCCGTGGCCCCAGCTGCTCAAACTGAATTCTACTACCTAGAAAGTGAACTAAAAGCAGTAAGAATTGCCTTTCCTTAGAGAAGTTTACTACAATGAATTATTTAAAACACATTTAGGGGCGCCTGGCTGGCTCAGTCTGTAGAGCGTGCGACTCTGGATCTCAGGGTTGTGTGTTAGAGCCCCAGGATAGGTGTAGAGATTACTGAGAAAGAAAAAAATCTTAAAAAAAAAAAAATACATTTAGAGCACTGACTTGCGTTTGCTGGATTTCTGTTTGTTTTAATAACTCTGAATTTTTACTCCCTAGGGCAACCTGTATAGAACAAGAAGGAAAACCTATTGACAGAGAGATGTCCTCCTCATTTCGCTCCCCACACCAGGCTTTGCTTTAACAGAGTGTGTGGGGGGTGGGGGAGGCACACTTACCCTGAAGCTAAGGAAGCACAGACCCTAGGGCCCTTCACAGGCACTGACCATCCCAAAGCCCCGCTCTAATATTGTACAGCTGAACAACACGGGTTTGCACTGCACAGGTCCACTGATATAAATTTTTTTTTTTTTTTTACAAAATACATTACAGTTCTGAAAGCATATTTTCTCCTCCTTATGATTTTAACATTTGCTATTCTCTAGTTTACTTTAGGAGCACGGTATGTAATACCGGCAACAGTCAAAACAGGGGTTAATCAACTCTTTATGTTTTCAGTAAACCTACGGTCAACAGTAGGCTGTTAGTAGTTAAGTTCTGGGGAAAACTCATATACAGATTTTCAACTGTGCAGGCGGTTGGTGCCCCTAGTCACCTCCCCCACAAGTTGTCCAAAGATCAACTGTACTCATAATCTGTGACCTTATTCCTCAAGAAGACCCCCAAAACTGTATTCTTTATCACTCACAAAACCTGAACTGCTCATGCAGGTAGGATTACGAGACCTATCAGCTCAGTGGAAGATTTAAGAGTGCGTCCCCTTTTTATATTTCAATTCTGTCCCAATTCAATTAAGAGTTACAGAGGTTATGGGGCGCCTGGGTGGCTCAGTGGGTTAAAGCCTCTGCCTTCAGCTCAGGTCATGATCCCAGAGTCCTGGGATCGAGCTGGGCACCGGGCTTTCTGCTCAGCAGGGAGCCTGCTTCCTCCTCTCTCTCTGCCTGCCTCTCTGCCTACTTGTGATCTCTATCTATGAAATAAATAAATAAAATCTTAAAAAAAAAAAGAGTTACAGAGGTTAAATCCCATTTCAGTAAATGTAACACTAATTACATCACAAATGCTGGTATACAAAAACTGTTAAAATCAGCCACTGGTTGGTCTATCAAGCACTAACTAATTATAAAATATTAGTAAATCAAATGAATTTGGCTATCCCCTGGAGCGTGGCAAGAGGTATAAGACAAGTATGACACCACAGGGAGCTAAGGGAGAGCAACATCATAGACACATTAACTCTGTTAGTGGCAAAGTATTCAATGGGCTCTAACTGAGGTACGCTAATAAGTCATCAATCCTGGTCGTGGCTTAGCACGCAACTCCCTCACCACTGAAAGAGTTAAGGAGCCCAGTGGATGCTGTGAGCCCCATTGTATTCTATAATGGAACTGAATTCTCATTGTGATCATGTGGCTGTGAATTAAAGCAACTCTGTTTGCAGGGAATATTAGGGTGCTGACTTTCTGCCTGTCAAATCTCTTCTCTTTCTGTCTAATCTGCCATCGGATTTCTCCCAAACTGAAAAATGCAAACTAAACCGAAAGCCAAACGGATGGATATCTGTATTCATTTACTGCGAACCATCCTGGGAAAGAGCTGGTTGGGTGTAATCCCAAAGTTAGCACACATTAATTAAACCAGTCCTCGGTGGAGTGGCAGATAAGAGATCTCAAAGGCAGACATTTAAAAAATAACAAAGCCAATGGGGAAAAATCAACAACTCTCCTTGGGAATGTTTAGGCAGTAAACATTCCTCCAACCCTTCTCAGCTCCAGCAGCATACATTATGCAAACTGTTTCTCCCCAGCACCAATCTCCTTCTTTCTTTCAGCACCCTTTGTGTCCCCACCCTGCTGCTGGCTGGCTGGGAGCACGCCCTCCACCACCTACCCGCTGCCAGAGCCACTCACATAATGTGGGCTTTGTTTACGTATCCATAAATATCTGACAATTCAGAAGCAGGGCCGTTCCCAGCACGAACAGAAAGGAATATTCCTAGGCAATTTCAGGGTCATCAGCACAGGACAAGGGAGCCTCCCAGTTCATATTCCTTTGCCCAAAAACAGGGACAGATGCACAAAGACAGAGGATTGGCGGGGGGGGGGGGGGGGGGGACGGGGGGGGGGAAAAGAAAGGGGGGGGGGGGGGGGGGGGGGGGGGGGGTCACTCAGGGTAGGAACTAAGTCAAGTGGGTCAGTGGGCCTCAGGGGGAGAATTGCCGAGCTGGCACGAAGGTATAGAAAAGACTGAAGGGCTTTGTTGCTCGAGGAAAACCTGTTACCTGATCATTATGGCTTGGCAACCTCTTGCAAACGCATTAGGAGGGAGCTAAATCCCTCAGCTAGACTCGGATGGAGAACTGCCGCATTATTGGCCCTTGTGCTCTTCCTGCGAGAGAATTTCTAGGAACAAATTCTAGACTGTTCCCACTGCCAATCTCTGGCGAAGACCCACGACTGCAGGTCCGTAGCTGTGGACAGGTGAGACCCGCCTATAAGCAAAGAGCCAGAAGAAGGGTTGGGTAATGGCTCCCAGGCTTGCAGAAATCCCAACAGCTGTGCAGTCAGCGAGAGTCCGCAAGGTCCATTTGGGAGCACCCATACAGAAAGAATTTTCTGCTCTTCGAGTACTACTCTGTCTAAACTCCCCATTCAACTCTGACGTCATACGAAACTGAAAAATGATTTTCGACTGATCCTCGTGACTTAAAAATAAGCATCAGTCGGTGACTGAGAATAAACCACACGGCAGAGAGCTACCTGTAATCCTGATATCATTTTCTTTGCTTCCTCCATTTCTTTTTCCAAATGTTCTTGTTGTTCCAACAGCTGTTCCTCCCATGAGGTCTCCAGGTAAGTTCTGGGGCTGCCCGGGCGCCAGTCTCGGGAGAACGGAGAGTCTGTCTCCTCTGCAAAATGAAAGGAGGGAGTACAGTTCATGCTGAAGAAGAGTTTCCAGCAGAAAGCGTTCACAGTCCCCCGCGTTCACGGGTTCAGGTCACCTGCCTTCCGAGCCTGTCCACAAGACGCAAACGGGACTCTCCACCAGGTGGGGCTGCGAGATAGAAGGAACTGGGCTATGAACTCGGCTCCCTCGGCTGGGGAAACAGATCCCCCGCAGAACCTTTAAGAAGTAATAAGATTCCCTCCTGGGGAGTCTTGGTATGGGACACACAGACCCTACTCTTAATTCTCTGGAACTGGCATCCCTGAAGCTGGATTCTGCCAGGTACAAAGACAGGAGCTGCCAGTCGCAGTGAAAACCAAATTCTCGTTGGTTGCTGTGGAGCTTCAGAGGGGAGCCTCCAAGTTCATATTCCTTTGCCCGAAGCCCCCTTCACCTAGGACGCTGTGTGAGTCACACAGGAACCAAACTAATGAGAGCACACGTGCACAAAGTATTCAATCTCGCTCCGTGGGTTCATTTTATTTTCCTACGTTTACGGTCTCTTTGCTCTTATTTCCTTGCCTGTCTATTTTATCCCATCTAATTGTGTGCTCGGCTATTAAAAATGCATTCCGGAATTCAGAAGAGTATAAACTCTCCGAGTAAGTGTCTTCATTCATAAGCGTGAATGTAATAAGGATAATTCCTCTGGGTTGCTGTGAAGATTGAATGAGCTGAGCCATGAGCAGGGCTCTGCGGTGCCTGACCCAGAGCTCTCACTCAGTAAATGCTCTCCCCTCCCCAAGGCCCCAGGGGTGTCTGATCAGTCACAGGACTGACTCTTCGGTGCTAATTCCAGGGCTAGAGGCAAGAATTTAAGTCCGGTTTTTCTTCTGAGGATTTCAGTTTCACTACAACCCTTACAGATGAATAAAACTCTATTGAAATCACATGCTTTGCTTCTTGTATGCTTCCCTCTATGTTTACGTGAGAAAAAGGAGAGCCTGAAACAGAGGAAGTCTAAACAAAGGGGAACCTTTGTGGTCCCTTCTGTGGCTGTCACACCAGCGTCTAATGTAGTCCCGGTCTTTATACTCTCACAGATGCCTCAGCTCATACTGTATATTCCTGGTTCAAATGTAAGTCAAGGACTTACTGAAATTATTTCTGTAACAGAGGGATAATAAAAACTGTTTACTTGAATAAGGCTTTGGATCGCCCCAAAGTCATATCCTAATTCACAGGCAGCCGGCAGAGGAATGGCCCATCTACATTGTTGTAAGATTTTTGACGGTTACGACATCCAAAGTGCTATTCTGCAAGAGGATAACCACGTTCATTGGCTCAAAGTCATCAGAGCCCCTAGAGCTGACCCAGCACGCACAGACTATGGAGAGGGAGAAGGCCAGGGAGTTTACAGGTAGATAATCAGGACCCCCAAACACTTCAAGACAAGGGCTGGTCCTTGAGCCAACCCAGGCACGCTGACAGATAGTACCTGTTCTGTTCTCTATTCCTTCAGCGGGAATCATCACAAAATCTGCCTTCTCCTCCGACTGAGTTATAATGGATTCGCTCTTTGCACTGTGGATAGGACTGGGTGAAGTCAGGCTGTGATGGAAGGAAAAGGAAGAGAAACAATTATTATGAACAATTTTTTTTTAAAGATTTATTTATTTGGGAGAGGGAGCACAGTGGGGAGGGACAGAAAGTCTGAAGCAAACTCTGTGCTTGGTGTGGACCTTGACGCAGGGTTCGATCTCATGACCCTGAGATCACGATCTGAGCCAAAACCAAGAGTTGGATGCTTAACTGACTGGGCCATCCAGGTGCCCCTGAGGAGTTGTTTAGAAGCCTACTGTCATAATTTATCCCAGAGACATGTTCTGATTATCTTACTCCTACTGTCTAACATAGTCCCCAGCCACAGTAGGAACAAACGTTTGTTGAATGAGCGCAGGATGAACTTACTGAATGAATGAAATGAATGCTAAGTGAATGACCCAGTCTTAGGAAGTCTTTTCCACAGCAAGGCTGCCTTGAAGCCTAATTCACAAAGCACAGATTTACCAGGATGGGTAATCTAGCATCTTAAAGAATGTCAAGTTTTATTTTGTTTGCTCTTTTTTTTTTTTTTTTAAACTTACCACCACCACCTGCTCTACCACCATTCCTGGGCCCAGATTCAAATACTGATATAGTGTGTGTCTTAGTAGCTTTGGGAGCTGGAAGGAAAATCTACTCACAGAAACAAGCATCACCAGCAGAGTAACATGGCAGATCAGCTCTAGGCTGATCTCAAAAGAGGGGACAATGCTGAGGGTAATTCACGGTGAGAAACTGCTGGGACTGTGGACAGTTGCCAGGCTGGGCAAAAAGGCAGTGACACATCAACAAGGACAGGAAGTGACAAGAAAAGGGGGAATCAGAAGGAAAAGGGGAAAAGACCTGATAGGGAAAGGGAAAGGTTTACTTGATTGGACCATCAAAGAATTATTCAGATCCTGCTAATTATCATCAGAAATCTCTTTGCAAATTATCTTTGCAAATTATCATCAGAAATCTCTCAACAATTCTTAAGTTCTGCTACAACTATTAGCCTCGGAGGGAACGGCTGAGATTTTCAGGGAAGATGAATTTCAAAGCTGCAAAACAACAGCAACTCCACAAGACAAGATGGGAATGTGAGGCTGACATTTCCATCCGACAGGGAAAAGGAATCTGAAGGGCCTTTCTTCTTCGCACCGCACCTTGAGAACATCAGCTCTGAAACAATCTCAGGGGCTGTGGGGTCTCCAGGCCTGGCCCCCTCTCAGGAATTCTTTCCAAATCCATCACCCAGACAACAGTGAAAGTGTCTAAGACTCACTGACCCACTTAATTCGCCCCTGAAGTCACCCAGGCTAATCCTCACAGCCTCGATCAGGAGTTAATGTTTTGTCTTCCTAGAAACCAGGAAAAACAAGAGCTGAGCACAAGGGGTTATATTCGGAGATTTCAAAAACCTCGAAAGCAGTTTGAGGACTAGTGTCTCTTCCTCTTCGTTGTCCCAAGTTTACGGGCTTTGGTGGGAATGACCTCAACCACTAATACATTCTCATCCTTATTAGAACCTTAGAAAACAATTTACAGTTTTTTGCTTCAAATTAAGGAAAGTCACTTAACCCTATCTATAGATCCATAACCTGAGTAGACAAGGGGCAGAAAGGTGGCGAGAAGCGGTATTTAGAAAAGATAATTGCTGATCCACCTTTCACCACTTAGGCCATCTGATTTCCAGGCCAACAAGAACTAACTGTGGGGAGGGCATTAGTGTAAGGGCATTCTGTCCTCATAAGAACAGATTTATAAGTATTCAGGCCTCTGCATTCCCTTCCTACAGAAATGGGGACCCACTTGCAGAAAGAGGCCCGTATTAGCTGCTCCTCTTTGAGAAATGATAAAATGACACTTCCTTAGCTGACAAGGTGCTATGGTTGACACGTTCCCATTTGGCTGGACCACAGTGGGTATGTGTGAGACGCAGGGGGGTGGGGGTGGGAAGAGGAGTGTGAACCCAGGATGCTGGAAAACTGCTTGCCCGAAAGCAGAGACGCATGCTCAGCTCCACCTCCCCCCTCTTAAGTGAGTTGTCTCCCATATAAGGGCAGAAGGAGGCGGATGTCTGCATACCCAACCCCACCGGGGGAGTGGCAGCACAGCCAAAGGAAAACAACATTTCTTTCTTGAATTTGAGGCTGCCAGCGAGTGAGGCCACAGAGAGGTAAGACCATGAAACTAGGTGGCCAAGTCAAAAGAGGAGGACCCGTGGAAGAAAAACCCTGAGACTCAGGTCAGAGCAGCAATCTTGCTACATCCCCAAGAAGAACCTCCGGGAGGAGGACGGGGCATTCAGTCAACTGCTTCAGGTCACAGAAAAGTATTTTAATGCTAATTAGTTAGGTGGCTTGGGCTCTTCCCAATGAGCTCAGAACCCCGATTTTGTAAACAAGTAATGCCCCACCTGCCATCATAATACCCTCAAATCAGGGAACTGACTACAAATAAGATTTGACTGATTGATTTCTTAATTCCCACAGGTCTGACATCTCTCCAATCTTAGGGTCAGACAAACGATCCCGCAGCAAAGTCCAAATCAGAGTAAAATCAATTTTTAGAAAATGGGTAATGGGTGGTAAGAAAGCGTCCTTTTTACTCCTGAAGTGCCCTCCCACAGCAGAGACAGGACAAGGTGAAGGGCCGCTCCTCCCGCCCCTATGCTGGCTCCAGTTTCCTAAACCCAGTGTATTCTGTACTGATAATCCCAGACCAGCAGCCTGTCCTTCGCAGTACAGCGCCCCCACCCATCCCGGTCCGTCTCTGGCCAAGAGCATCCTCCAGTCCTGGCCCTGCGCCCGCCCATGCCCCCCGCCTTACCCCCACGCCTCCAAAGCCAAAGTGGCTTCTGCTCACCATTTCACTTGCGTCCCTCCCATGGTCCCCCTCCTGGCTGCGGCTTCAGAGAGCCCGTTTCCCCGGGTGAAGCGGGAGGCTGGGAGTCACGGCGCTCCCGAATTCGGGCATGTCTCCCCGCGCTGGGGCCCGCAGAACCACTCCACGGGCAGGCCGGCTACCAGAGCCGCTGGCCCCGACCGCGGGAGAGAGTCGGAAGGGCAGAGAGGCGGGCGTCTCCGCCCCGGGGTCGGGGATGCTCCCGGGACTGAGGCGCGCGGTCCCGGCCGCTCAGACGCTGCAGCAGCCCGGCCTGGGCGGAAGCCGCCTCCCCTCGTAGGCTGCGGGTCCCTGGCGGCGGCATCGCGGCGTCCGCGGCCGCGCGGCTCCGGGCGTGCCCCCGGGCGCGGGCATCTCACCCCATCGCCCGCGCGGGGCAGCGCTGCCCGCGGCTCCCGCTGCGCGGTCGGGTCCCGGCGGCGAGCGTGCGGGCGCCCCCGGCTCCAAGCCGCCTCCTGCCCCTCCCGCGCCTCCCGCCCCTCCCCTCGCCGCCCCCGCTTCCAGGCTGTCAGCGCCGCGGGCAGCGCGGGGCTCGGACCCGGCACGGGCGGGGCGGGCTGGGAGGCCGAGCGGGAGCCCTGCGCTCGGGCAGGGGCGGAGCCGCGGACGCCGAGCCCCGGGGAGGGGTGGGCACCCCGGGGCTGGAAACGCCCTTTCCGCACCGACCCCTCCCTTCGCGACCGCGGAGGTCGGGGCGGGTGTCACCCGGCTCCTCGCCGGAGCGGGGGCCTGGCCGGGTGGAGACTCAGCGTCGCGCCCGCAAACCCTCCAAACGCCGTTCTCCTCCAACCTTCCCCCAGGCGTTGCATGTGTTCTCGTTTCCCAACTAAGGATCATTTTGCGTGGACACAGTAGGAGGCCGGCCCGAGGTCTACGGAGCAACAGGCGGCCAGGAGCGGGGGGCCACCTTTCCCATCTTATGAGCCGCTCCCCGTTCACAGTCACATCGCGAGGTCTCCCGGCCTTCATGGGTCACTGAGCCATGAGGTGACCTCCCCTGAGGAAGGGGTGGGCGGGCAGAATGTTCCAGAGCCTCCTGGGTCCCGGGAGCTTACTGAGGAAAACCCAACTGACCCAGCATCCCAAAGATGTAAGTGAGACGTCAGCTTAGAAGAAAATGACAAAAAAGCAGGAAGGAGCGACAGACCGGGAAATGAGATTCATTACCTGACCCCTCTCCCAGAAAAACGGTCACTGCCCACTGCAGCCCGATTTCCAGGGGGTCCCTAATTGGCACTGTGTCACAGCCCCTACCCCAGTCTGAGTTCTCCTGCCAGAAAGGAAGGAAGCAGGTGTTCTCAGGAAGACATCCAGACTTCTCTCCTCTAGCACTCGCTCTCTCTAGCGCTCTCTCTCTCTCTCTCTCTCTCTGTCTGGCTCTCTCTCACTTTAACTCTGGCAGGCACAAAAAAGTGAAAGGCCTGTAGCCATGCAGGAAGCAACAGATCTCATTATAAATGAAATGTCCTTTGACTCTGTACCCAGTGATAGCCTAAGCGGTAAGCAAGGAAGAAATGGTTCAGATTCTCATTACTAGCACACCTACTGCCCAATGGGTACAGGGTTTCCTTCTGGGGTGATGAAAATGTCTTTGAACTGGACAGAAGTGATGATCACACAACATTATGAAGATACTAAATGCCACTGAATGGCACACTTTAAAATGATTAGTGGCTAATTTTATGTTATGTGAATTTTATAAATAAAGCAATTTACTAAATGTAAAAATTAAAGTTGAGTAAGTATTAATATACTGATACAGTTATCAGTATATTAAAATGCTGGGAAGAATTCCATATGACTGCAACAAATTAAATGGTCTATCAATCTAAGATGAAATTTTATGTGGAAAAGAAACAGTAAGAAAGAAAATAAATGCACTTAAAATACATATAAGACAAAGAACAATTAGACTTAACTAGAACAGACTACACTGGGCTGGGTAGGAGAGAAAAGGTCATAAGAGCATAAATTTAAAAAGATTCAGCAATGAAATGAAGTTAGTAAATAAGTTGACATGATCTGGGATGTATTTTTAGGAGCACGATTTACATGAGCCAGGAAAGTCATCTTTTTCTGCCACTACACTTGGCATTGATCAGGCTTTATTAGAGCAGTGTGTCCTGTTTTGGTCTTTGCACTTGGCTCTAAGTGCTACAGATGGCCGTTCTGCTAGAGTCACAAACATCTTAGCCCACACCAATGCATACTAATCTGCCACAATTCCGGCCCTATAAATGAAAGCTGAAAACATCCTAATGTCCTCAGACAACTCTGCTCAGTTTTTCCTCCTGTTATACGCTTGCTAGAACCTTCTCAGGCCACACTTAGCGTTCAGCTCAGGCACAGAGGCAGTACGTGGAACCAGCTGTCAGAAACGCTGGCCACTGAGACCAAACCAGGGGCTGGGCCCTCCGGGCTGCCAGTCATGCCCCCCTGTGGACAAAGCTGAGCACTGGCACTCAACTCTGCACAACTCTTCCCTGTGTGGGAAACTTCCCCACTCGCCGCCCTCCCTACCTTCCAGCCAGCACAAAACTGCAAAGCAACCCCTTTAAAGACAACCCCTTTAAAGTCAAAACAAACTGACGGGAAGAGAAAAGAGCGAGGAGCCTTCCTGCCTGTTGTGTTGCTACTTGAAGCTGAAAACTCTGAGATGTGCCCCCCCCGCCCCCAGGACCATCGTGCTAAGGAGCACGGTTACCTGGAGCAGCCAGACTCGGGCGGGGACCTCTGCTGCCCTTCATACTGCTGCACCAGGGCCCGCACGCTCCAGTACGGATTCTCGATCTCCTCGTCCATGCTGCTGTTCCTAAAGTTGGAGGGGACCAGCAAAGAAGAGGGTGTCAGTCCTTCAGGTCCACTCAGCGAGAACTGAGAGATGGCCACTCTCAGAGCGCGAAGGGGAGAAAGAGGAGGAAGGCCAAGCCCCTGCCTTAAAGACACCGGACACCCAGGAGGGAATCAGACCTAAACACACTATTTGCACCAGGCTCTGCAACACCCGTCCTGCCCTCTCCCAGCAGACATACAACCCCCAAAATGTTTCCTGCCATGGGTCTTCGGGACAAGCTGGCTTGAGTATACATTCTAGAGAGACACTCCCCCAGATGACTTGGAACACTGCTCCCACATATCTCCCCATGAAGAAAACACACTGTGCCAAAGGTATATATTTAACATCCTGGGCACCAGGACAAAAAATTACAAATATGATTCTTTTACTTTCTTCTAACTGCAAAGTAAACATCTCTTTTGATAGGGCTTTTCTGTCTTGGAACGTCCTCTCTGACCCCACACTCCACGCTCTTTTCTGCAATGTGGGGCTGTTTAGTTGACACGTCCATCTGTCGGACGATATCATTTGCCACAAATATCAGAGAGGAACAAGATCCCGTCCCCAGATTTTGACCCTTACCTCTGTCTGTATCGAAAGACATCCCGTCCTGACCGTGACATGTCATGACACACGTCAGCCAGAGCAGCCGCTGCTCCCTGGGCCACAGCAGTGGCACAGTGTGGCTGATGACTCTGCAGAGGGACTCTGGGGTCCCTTCCTTGGCTCACCGTCCTGTTGGAGCCAGGTTTGAAATGAGCTGCCAAGGCAAGGACCAGCCTCATGATAGACTTCAGGTTTCCTTCCACAATATCTGAGGGACAGAACAGACCCAGAGGTCCTAAGAGGGAGGCAGAGGCTTCATTCATTTAATACGTATTTGCTAGTGACACAAGTCTCTTTGTCCTCACAGAGCCACGTTCAACAGGAAGACAGAACGTTTAAAAGCAATCATAATGAAGTACGGTAATGTGTTATGGTAGAAGAACAGGATACTCTGGGAGCACAAAGTAAAGGCATCTTGTCCAGGGAAGGACTCCTAGAGGAAGTGAATTTTAAACTGAGACTTGATTGACAAATAGTGGGTTCATCAGGTGAAGGAGGAGAAGGAGAAGTGTATTCCAAGAAGAGGGAACAGCAAGTGTAAAGGTCTAGAGGTGAGAGAGAGCACGACCCACAAGAGCTATGCTGTCCAATATGGGGGCCACTGGCCACATGAGGCTACCGAGCGCTTAGAGGGTAGATTCTGAATTGGAAATGTGCTCCAAGGGTAGTACCTCACACAACAAAAGTCAGACTGAAACATATCTCATTAGACTTAGCACAAAAAATAGAAGGCACACTATCTCTTTCATAGCTGTTACATTGATTACATGTTGCACTGATAATATTTTGGATATACTGGGTTAAATAAAATGTTTTCTTAAAATTCATTTCTCCCATTTCCTTTTTATTTTAAATGTAGCTATTGGGATCTTTTCAGTTTCGTGTAGGAGACTTGTGTTATATTTCTGCAGCACAGCACTGTGGCAGAGGAAACTGAAAACAGCACAGCGGGGTGAGGGGCTCGGAGTGCAGGGGTGCAGGTGAAGGGTGAGGCCGCAGGGGGAGAAATCAGAGGCCGGGTCAGAAAGGGCATGGTAAGCCCCAGGATGGACTTTGAATTTTCCCCTAAGAACCCGCACGTGCAGAGCAATAGCATGAGCTTATGTATTCTCAGAATTGTCAGAAACATCATTTTGGCTGCAGTGTGGAGAGCGGTGGGGAGGGAGATAAAACTCGAGGCAATGAGACTAATTAGGAAGCTGCTGTACTTCTCCAGGTAAACGACAATTATGTCCTCAATGGCAGTATTCCCTCAAAATAGCTAACTTTAATGGGCCGGATCCCCAAGCCCACCCTTCAGGGGGACCAGAACAGAGATATTACGGCACTCTAAATTTTGCCCTAGAAAGAAAACGCACGCAAAAAAACAATGTGATTGGGGCGCCTGGGTGGCTCAGTGGGTTAAAGTCTCTGCCTTCGGCTCAGGTCATGCATGATCCCGGGGTTCTGGGATCAAGCCCCACATCGGGCTCTCTGCTCAGCGGGAAGCCTGCTTCCTCCTCTCTCTCTCTGCCTGCCCTTCTGCCTACTTGTGATCTCTGTCTGTCAAATAAATAAATAAAATCTTTAAATAAATTTTAAAAAAACAATGTGATAGATCTGGTGAAAGTTAAAGTAAGGAAATGGGTAAAACTCCTATTTTTTTAGATTCATAGCACTGCAAATATGCAAAGCTTGGAAAATGATTGATTGATACCTCCTACAGGGCGCTCTCAATGGTTAAGTGTCTGCCCCACCTGAATGATCCCAACACAGAAAACACCAATAATCCAACATGGAAGGAAGGCTCCCTACAGCCCTCATTCTCATCAGAGCCACAGGCAATCAGACCCAGAAACTGAAGCTGAAACAGACCCAGACCTACAAGCAATTCTAGAGAAACAGTGGGAGGGCTAGGGAGCCTGGGCTCTCTGACCACCGAAACGATTGCTTCCTTGCAGCTGGGCTCAATATGGACTGAGGAAGTGTCCTCTTTGGGTTCTGCAGCTATAAGACAGGCTATGTACAGAGGTCCCAGAGCCCCTTTTCATCTTGCCTGAAATATTCTGCAATATCCCCAAAATTAAAAGCTATAAACTATTTTTCTTCTGGAAAACTGGATGGGAAAATCTATAGCTATTATGATTTGAAATAATTCTTGAGCATAAAACCCAAGGAACTTGAAAAACATAATCTGTCTTCATTTTTGATTACTTAAATGAGACACTGTAAAGTTAATATCCCAATCTTGTCATTGCTACTGTATTTTCTTCACACATACACTCAAGCAGACCTTTATTCAATTAAAATGAATAGAGAATGTCTATCTCCATCCAGGTTTTCAAAGCACTCAGATTTTGATGATCCCCTTGTCCCAAGAGGGTAACTCTTTATGGATAAATGATATGATGCCATGGGCCTAATGCTATTCCAGTCTACTCAGAAGCCTTGGCTATACAATGGATGGTTCTTCTGAACCTCATAATCACTGGGTAAAGCTGAATGTACTCATCCCCCAAAGATGTGATGGGCCGCTGACCTTTAGCCGAAGTCTGGTGCATGCGAATCTTTTTGGAGGCCACAAACTGGAGCACTTTCTCCACATTATTCTTCATCTCCTGTTGGTTACTGGGAGCCAGCTGTACCCCCTTCAGTTTTTCTCCTGCTGTTAGAAGAGAGAAAACATACAAAAGCTATAGGGAGGAACACTATCAAAGTTTCCTAACAGCCAGATACCAACAAAAGGAATATTTGATGGAAACGCTAAGATTACATATAAATATGCAAGTGCGTTAAGCCTTGGTGTTGATCACTTGGATGCGGAATAAGAAACGAAGAGCCTTTTGGAGGGTCTTCAAATTTTCAAAGCTATATGCAGGGGCCTGGGAAATGACCGTGTGTATGCTTCCTCATTCAACAAATCCTCACTGAGCACCCACCGCATGCCTGGCATTGTTGTGGGCACCAGTGAAACAGCCATGAACGACATGGACAGAGTCCCTTCCACTGCAGACCTTCTATCTCCAGGGATGACAGAGGACCAAGTGAACCAGTACATGTTTAATATAATTTCAGGCAGTGGTAGGTGCTGTGAGGAAAAACGAAGAAAAGCAACATCATGGCCTCCCTGATAGTCTATGTGGGCAGAAACCTGAATAAAGTAAGAGATGTTAGGATTTGACGAGGAAGCATTCCAGACTGAAGAACCACAGGTACAAACACCAGGGTGGGGAGGGGGGCACCTGGGTGGCTCAGTGGGTTAAAGCCTCTGCCTTCGGCTCAGGTCATGATCCCAGAGTCCTGGGATTGAGCCCCACATTGGGCTCTCTGCTCAGCAGGAAGCCTGCTTCCTCCTCTCTCTCTGCCTGCCTCTCTGTCTACTTGTGATCTCTCTGTCAAATAAATAAATAAATAAAATCTTAAAAAAACAAAAAACAAACCTCACACCAGGGTGGGAATGAACTCAGCTTATCTGAGGAACAGCAGTGGCTGGAGTGGAGAGAGAAAGGGGAGTCAAATCCTAGGAGAAGGTCGACAGGTAAGCAAAGCCAGGTCATTTAGGGTCTGTAGATTAATAATCTGTGTTTTAAAAGAGGACTCTATATGGACTCAGCTTACGTAGAGAGGAAGTGGGGAGATCTGTTAGAAAATGAAACTAGTCAAGGCAAGGGTTAATGATGTTTTGGGCTTGACTGGAAAAGGCTGGTATCGGGTACCAGGTGAAAAGTCAGGTATCGGGTAAAATTTTAATGTAAAGCAGATAGCACATGTGAAGGACTGGGTACGATATAGGAAGAAAAGAGAATAATTAAGGACAACTTCCACAGCTGGGTGAATGGTACCATCCTGTGTTACTTCAGAAGAAATCTGGAGGAGAGAGGAACTGGTAGGGAGAAGGATAGCCAAAGTTCTGATTAGGGCATGTGCAGTTAGAGCTGCATTTCAGACATTCGGGGCGCCATGTTGAACGTGAAGTTGATATTCATGTCTTGAACTCAAAGACAAGTTTAGAGCTAAAGTTATGGATGTGGGAGGAGATCACTTGGGGACAGAGAAAACACAAGGGCTAGGGACTGAATACGGAGGACTTCAACATTTAGAGGTCATGAAGGAGAAAAGCCAACAGGGCGAACCGGGGGAGCCAGTGAGGAAGGAGGGTCCTAGAAGCCAAGTAAAGATGGTGACTGGAGGAGGAGGGATAAACTGTACCAGGTTCTGCTAAACCGAATAAAATGGGGGCTGAGGCCAAGCCACCAGATTTGATAAGGCAAAGGTTGTAACCTGGACGAAAGTAGTTTCAGTGGAGGAATGGATCAAAAGCTCGAAGACGGCATGTTAAAGAAAGAATGGGGAATGCGGCGCCTGAGTGGCTCAGTGGGTTAAGCCGCTGCCTTCGGCTCAGGTCATGATCCCAGGTCCTGGGTTCAAGCCCCGCATCGGGCTTTCTGCTCAGCAGGGAGCCTGCTTCCTCCTCTCTCTCTGCCTGCCTCTCTGCCTGCTTGTGATTTCTCTCTGTCAAAATAAATAAATAAAATCTTTAAAAAAAAAAAAAAAAAAAGAAAGAATGGGGACTAAGGTAGTGAATTCAGCGAGTCTTTCCATATACCAAAGTCACAATAAAATGCAGCATTTAAGAATCAGGGTTTTGGGAAACCAAGAATACATATTCATATTGTTTCCATATGCATAAAACATCTCTGGAAAAAAATGCAAGAAATTGCTAACACTGGTTGCTTCCAGAAAGAACACATCACTGGTGCGGCTGGAAAAAAGGCTTTTACATCCTTTTGTGGCTTCTGCATTTTCTATCTGATTATATTTTCAAGTATAATCAATTCAAATCAGTGAAAATGAGGGCTTGAAATGAACTTTGGAATTAAAATAGATCTAGTTTTTTACCTCTCCTCTGCCACGGTACAGTTACATGGCCTCGGAAAGTCGCCTAGCCTTTCTGAACCTCATAAATGAGTAAGGCGGTAGTACTCATCTCATCTCCACGGCATAAATCATCTGAAGTAGCTTAGTACAATCCTCGATACATTCAAAGTGCTCAATGAATTTATTTATTCATTTTTATAAATCTTCTAAGCTTAGTTTCCTGAAAATGGGGATGACAGTATCTGCAAGGGTTGATAATTAAATGAAATGAGATAAAAAGTGTTCAATAATGGCAGCTCTAACTATTACCATCATTATTATTATAAAGGAGTGCCCTGATGAATCCATGAGCTGGCCCACGGAGGTAGCAAACCGGGCTCTTTCCATGCCACGTGCAAGCCCGCATCTCTCAAGGACTAAGCAAGGTCAGCTGATTAACAGAACAATAAATGCCAGAGGGCCTATTATGTGCCAGGCACTTGGGTAGGAGTTGTGGAAACAGAAAAAAAAAAAAAAAAAAAAAAATCACACTGTACCTGCTCTTGAAGAGCTCAGTCTGTAGGGGAGAGCCAGGAAAATAGTTACTGCTCAGCGAATGGCAATACTATCATGATAACAGCTGTGGACAAATGCTGTGGACACAGGGTATGCTGTCCTCCAGTAAGAAAGGCTAGCAACAGCTCCAGGGCTCCCTGAGGACGAGCCTTTTCGTGGGACGATATGGGATTGTCACGGAGGGCTCCTTTTGCTGGCAAACCCTCCTTCGTTTGGCCTGACTACTATTTTCTTTTCCAGCCTTGGTTTGGACATCAGTTCTTCTGGCAAGCCATCCCTGAACCCTAGGACTGGATTGGGTGCCTCCATCCACCCATGTGCTCCTCTCTGTCCTTACCCCATCAGAGTCCAAAGTACATGAATGGAATTGCATTCCCTTTCCAGTGTTTCCAACTAGATTGGGACACTCCTGAGAGCACAGACTGTGCTCACAATCACATTGCCGGAGCATAATACGGCGCCCAGCACACAGAGTTTGCTGACTCATAAATAAATGAATTAACGTTGGGCAAGTATTTTAAACCTTCTATACTTCCATTTCCGTATATTACAAAGCAGTGGCAAACTGCTCTGAAGGGCATGTGGAGGATAAAGAAGGCATGTTCTGGCATCAGAGCCCAGGGCCAACTGACCAACGATTTCGATGAGATACGCCAGGATCACCCCATCCCGAAGATCCTGTCGCAGGTCCTGCACCGGCTTCACTGCTGGCCTCTTCTTGAGCTGTGCATTCACCCAGGCCACGTAAGCCTGCAGCTGTTGCTGGAAAAATCAAAGAAATAAGAGAAAGTTTGCACATTATTGTTCTCCTTCGCCCCGTGCCTTCTAAGGCAGTATTTGAGAATGGGCTCTGGGGGGAAATCCACATCCAGAGGGAGGAGGAAGTTTCAAGGAAAAAAAGAGGATGGTGAGACAGGGAGCATGTTCTAAAAATTTCTGGTTTTATGCTAATCTTCAGGGAAAGCTAACCGCTGACTTGCTGGCAGGATAGACACTGATAAGCAGATGAGTGTTTCAATGACCACGACTCCTGCTTTCCTTGTGTATTCTCTGTTGACCAGGAATGAGGCCCGGCAAGAAGCAGAGCCAGTTTTGGGTGTAATCACTGCTGTCAGCCCCACAGCGCTTCACAGGAATAATCACTTGTGTTTCGAATGCACAATGGACAGCGATACTCAGAAGACGGGTCTTGGGAACCAGGAATAAACAGCAAACCTGCTCAGAACCGCCTCTCCCACTGCTCTTCACAATGAGACTTAACTGAAATCATCTCAGGGTCAACCCAAGATTTATTCTTCTGAGTCCATAATCCTGGGATTGCTACAGTTAGTGTTAATCCATACTTTATACTGTCAAAGAGGATCTAGCTGCTTAAAACCTGCACAAAGAAGGAAAAGAAAAGGCTTTGGAGAGCAGTAGCCTGAAGATTTGGGTAGGGGGGATGGAGAACTTTCATTTATTGTGAGACTACGCCAGCCAGTATCATCGGAAGCCTGATGGGCCCAGATAGGGACCTATAACCCATCCCAGCCCTTGGATAACCTGACATATTCCATTTTCTCCCTTACACAAAGCTCGCAGTCAGGGGTCTATTCCAACTACGCATTTGTTCTGAAGATGGGCACTAAGTATCAAAATAGCACATAACAACATCCCAGAAGCAGCATCAGCTCTGTCTGGTTTCTGCAGAAACCCAAGACCCCGAACCTAAAAATCAGATTCAAGTGCTAATGTTACAGTCTGGTTAAAGAACGCTTGATTTCTAAGCCGCAAGTACCTCATCAATGAAATGATGTTGGAAAGTACTCACTGCCTCCTTCCTGAGCTTAAATGAAATCTTCAGTATTTTATCTGTGTTGATTTGTGGGAATAAATGAAGTCTTTGTAAGACAGCACTAAGGCAATAATCTATCAGCTGCTGACAAACTGCAGGAAGTGCCCTATCAGCGGGGGGTGGCGGGGGGGGGGTCCTACCTGAACTGTACACCAGTTTTGGTGTTTGATGTGTGTTTTATTGTATTAATGAATGTACCTGAAACAGGACCTGCCACACAGCTGATGTCATTATTATTCTCATCATTATCACCATCTAAGTAATTCTCACAAAAGCACTGAAGGGTCAGTGTCTTCGACGTTCTCTGGATGAAGTTCAGAGAAGTTATGTAACTTCCCCAATGTCCCCAGCTAGGACAGAGCAGACATGGCATTGAAACACAGTAAGTGCGGTCCAAGCATTGACCAAGGACTTTGTGCTGCCCAGCTCAGTCCACACCTTCTGCCTGATATGGGCCAGGCTCCCGCCCAGACTCTACTCCCACTCTCCTACTCCGCTGCCACAGCACTGTGGGAAGCAGACCAAGCAGGCAAAGGGCGCCTCTGCAGTAAGCCACTCTGATCTGGGGAAAAGGAGTTAAGACTGAAAAAGGCATTAAGGGTAACAGCTGGGATCTCACCACCTGGGTCACATATAAAACTAACCAAAATAACACCCAATAGGAACCAGGACAGTCTCTTCAACCACAAACAGTGCTGGGAAAACTGGGCAGCCACATGTGGAAGCACGAAACTGGACCATTCTCTTACACCACACACAAGATAAGTTCAAAGTGGATGAAAGACCTCAATGTGAGACAGGAATCCATCAAAACCCTAGAGGAGAACACAGGCAGCAGCCTTTTCAACCTCGGCTACAGCAACTTCTTGCTAGATACATCTCCAAGGGCAAGGGAAACAAAAGCAAAAGTGAACTGCTGGGATTTCATCAAGATAAAACGCTTCTGCACCGGGGCGCTTTGCAATTACAAACAATGCTGCAATGAGTGACCCTACGCATGTGTATTTTCATGTTGATACAGGTCTACCTTCGGGGTAGATTCCAAGTAGGACTGCCGGATCAAAAGGCAAGTCAGTGGATAATTTTATCAGATATTGCCAAATGCCCTGCCAAAAGGGTAGCATCTGTTTACATTACCAAAGGAATGCATGAGAGCATACGTCTCCACAGCCTCACCAAACAGAATGTTGTCGTACTTTCAATTCTTGCCACTGTGATGAGAAATTGTATTTTAGTGTTATTTTAATTTTCAGTTCTTTATGAGTTTAAACCTGTTTTTGCAGGAGTGCCTGGGTGGCTCAGTCAGTTTAAGCAGCTGCCTTCAGCTCAGGTCATGATCTCAGGTCCTGGGATCAAGCCCCATGTCAGGCTCCCTGCCCAGCGGGGAGCCTGCTTCTCCCTCTCCCTCTGCCTCACCCCTCCATGCTCTCTCTTTCAAAGGAATACATGAAATCTTTAAAAAAAAAAAAAAAAAAAAAAAAAAAAAAACTCTTTTTTGTAGGTTTAATAATCCATTTTACATCATTTACCTTTTATCACTTTTTCATATCTAAATGAATTGTCTTTTTCTCATTTTTCTATCAGAGTTTTTGGTCCTATTTTCTTGCATTTTTAAGAATTCTTTATATCCTAGGACTGTTACCCTTTTGTCTTCAACATGTGTTGCAGATATTTCTTAGTTGTCTTTGACTTTTACGTTGTCTTTTTGGCCATGGAAGAGTTTCTACTTGTATATAATCACATTTATTGATCGTTTACTATACTGCGTCTGAATTCTGAGTCATGGTTAGAAAGCCTTTCCCTTCACTGAGAGGAAAGAAGAATCACCAGGTTTTTTTTCTAGCTCTTAGATGGTTTCATTTTTTACGTTCAGATCCCTGACCCATTTGGAGTCTATTCTTGTGTATGATATGAGAAATAAATCCAAATCCTCTTTTTCCAAACAGCTACCTAGTTGTTCTAGCACCATTTCTTAAAACCTCCCTCTTTACCCTGGTGGTCCTAGATGTTACCTTTATCATATACTAAATTTCCATAAGTCCTTGAGTCTATTTATGGGCTTTGCCTCCTACATCACTCATATATTTGTTTATTCATGCATAACGTTTTAATTATAGAGGCTTTACAGTGCATTTTAATGCCCAGGAAAGCTAGTCCCTGGCCCATGAAAATTTCCTTTTTTAGTGTTCTTTTTTTTTTTTTTTTAAAGATTTTATTTATTTATTTGACAGACAGAGATCACAAGTAGGCAGAGAGGCAGGGAGAGAGAGAGAGAGGAGGAAGCAGGTTCCCCGCTGAGCAGAGAGCCCAATGTGGGGCTCGATCCCAGGACCCTGGGATCATGACCTGAGCTGAAGGCAGAGGCTTTAACCCACTGAGCCACCCAGGCGCCCCTTTTAGTGTTCTCTTGACTATTCTTGCATATTTATTTCTTCAAATGTATTTTGTTATTTTTACCTGACCTCCTAAAAAAGTCTGTTGGCATCTTTATTGGGATTATATTACATTTATAAATTAATTTAGGGAAACCTGTCACCTTTACGGTGTGAAATCATCCAACTCAAGAATAGGGGATGTCGTTCCCTTTGTTCAAATGTGTCCTCCAGGAGTGTTTTAAAGTTTTCCTCCTGTAGGTTTTATACATTACTCTTTAGGTTCATTTCTTTTTTTTTTTTTTTTTTTTTTTTTTATTTGTCAGAGAGTGAGGGAGAGAGAGAGAGCGAGCACAGGCAGACAGAATGGCAGGCAGAGGCAGAGGGAGAAGCAGGCTCCCCGCCAAGCAAGGAGCCCGATGTGGGACTCGATCCCAGGACGCTAGGATCATGACCTGAGCCGAAGGCAGCTGCTTAACCAACTGAGCCACCCAGGCGTCCCTCTTTAGGTTCATTTCTAAGTATTCAATCTTCCTTATTGCAATTGCAAATGAGTTTTCCTCTATCATTATGGTCTCTAATTGGCTACTTTTTGGGTATATAAAGCTATTGATTTCAGCATGTTAATTTTACATCCTGTTACCTTATCTTTTATTGTTTGAGTTTTATCACTAATTCTCTTCAATTTCCAGGATTATTATTATATCTGAAAAATAAATAGTTTTATTTCATTACTAAGCCTTGTGCCTCTAAATGACTCTCTAGTCTAATTGTGCTAATACCTCTGACACAAAGTAGAATAGAGAGTGGGCATCCTGCCCTTGTTTCTAGACTTAGAGAAACCCTGACAGTGTTTCCCAATTTAGAAAGTTACTGGTTTTAGGACTAAGGTATATATATTTTATCATGTTAAGTATATCCATCGCCTTATTTTCTTGACTGTTTTATGAGGAATGGATGTTGAATTTCAATAAAATGTCTGTCAGCCTTTACTGAGATAATCCTAAGATTACTTTTCTTAATACCTATTAATATGGTATATGATACTAGTGGATTTCCTAATAATGAACCAACCTTGCATTTTTGGAATGAAACTCACCTGATGGTAGTGAATTATATGTTTAAAGTGGTGTTGCAGAGGCGCCTGGGTGGCTCAGTGGGTTAAAGCCTCTGCCTTTGGCTCAGGTCAGAGGTCAGGTCAGATCCCAGGGTCCTGGGATCGAGCCCCGCAGTGGGCTCTCTGTTCAGTGGGGAGCCTGCTTCCCCCTCTCTCTCTGCCTGCCTTTCTGCCTACTTGTGATCTCTCTGTCAAATTAAAAAAAAAATCTTTAGGGGCGCCTGGGTGGCTCAGTGGATTAAACCACTGCCTTTGGCTCAGGTCATGGTCTCAGTGTCCTGGGATCGAGCCCCGCATCGGGTTCTCTGCTCAGCGGGGAGCCTGCTTCCCACTCTCTCTCTGCCTGCCTCTCTGCCTACTTGTGATCTCTCTCTCTGTCAAATAAATAAATAAAATCTTTAAAAAAAAAAAAATCTTTAAATTAAAAAGAAAAAGTGGT